TTTTCTCAATGCAACAAAGATACAATTATAGTCAGCGAGAATGTGCGGTATAACCAAATAATATCACATGTTTGTAAAACATTTTCTACGGATAAAAGAATCAATCTATATGTACAAATTCCAATTTATACAGTAATTGCATGGATTTATTCTATGTAAAAATACGATGGTTGTGGAATCGTCTTCTGCGCCAGAGTCCTACACTACCATAATATTCAGTATAGCACCTATGCATTAAACCAAAGTATAGCATAAATAACTAAAATGTACGCCGTTGAATTTTGTGATAAGAAAATCCATGGGATATGTGTAACTATATTTGATTATTAAATGGTAAAACAAAATAGACCTATTTTGTCTTAACATAGCTTGCAGTTCACATTTACTTTATTGCATTTTATAAATTTATTATTTGTGTTTTGCTACACCATTGATTAAATTAATCCAAGGAAAATATCATAATACTAAGTTGTACAGTGTTCTTTTGTTTCTAAAATCAATGAAATTTCTCTTACTATTTTTATTTAATGGTAAGTTTGAATATGTAAAGGCAAGTGACTATGGAACTGATTAAAGATTAATATAAAGACAATTCCCCTTCAGCTGCGACATGATCAAATGAAACTGTACGAATGCTTACATATTTGTCCACTAGTAAAAATATGGATTTTGAAGAGACAGTTTGGTATTTATCCATGTAACAACATTAATTCGTATTATGCTCATCAATAAGTTGTCTTCAGTTGTCCGTTTTTAATGTCCTTGTTCATCCATCTAAGTCTCATTTAATTTCATTTCATTTTGACCATGAAACACGAATGAGTGTAATGACATTGGCATAGAATATATAACGAGTATGTGATAGGAACATCTTCTATAGTTTTGAACCCTCACAATCCATTGATGAGATGTATCATCTGGCTAATCACCTTGTTCCTGTGAACTTGACAGGATGACCAGATGCAGGATCCAGTTCAGGACCAAGGATACTGCGGACGTTCACAGCTGATAGTAGTAATCAGCGTGACCTTGCCCTCACTGCTCGGTGACCTTGAAAGATAACCGCTCTGAAGATGGTCCACATAGCTGCGGATAGCGACTAGTTTATACTAATATTTTGTCCTCCAACGATAATGTTTGCTATATAGGCCAGCACGATTCTACACGCTACTTTGTTGAATCTTAGTTTAATTTGGTTTTTTTGTTATTTTTGTTTGTTTATTAGTATTTGAATTGTGAATTAAGTGATTAGTACAAATATTTTATATCTGATGAAGGAGTAGTCGGTAACTTAAGAGAGCGATGTCTTGGTTTCAATAAAATTCATTCTTGTCCCGTAGTGACTCACACCTTGCTTTTTGAATGGAGTTCTACTCTAAAGTCTTTTGGGCACATGAATGAACAAACGCCAGTTTAAAATATTCCATAATATTCTTGAAAACTACAATAGTAATTTTGTTCTTAATTTATATAACTAACGACAATGGTTTTCCCTTTAACGTCCCTTTTCCAGCCGTTCTACTTAACCGATTTTTACAATTGAGGTTTCATTTTAAAGCTTATGATCTAATGCACCTGCGAATGGTAATTAAAAAGTCAATTACCTTTAGGGCTTCGCTGTGAGGGGGTTTAATTTGTCTCTAGAGTCCATTTTCAAAGATCATGTTATGCTGACTAATTGTTTTATTAGGTTTAAATGTGAATTGTAATTTTTTAACAGCTGTTCCTTCCGTTGAATGTTCAACTACATCCAAGAGACTAAACAGTTTATGAAAATGTATTTTAAATATGCTACTGTAACTTTATTGAGGTACTCAAATCACTCTTTGTAGTGTAGATCTAAAGTCAACAAATGTATAGTAAATTAGTAGTTCTATTCCCCTAATAACTGTTAAAAACTAATATTTACTTGAAAAGGTAAATGGGTATTGCATTGGATTCGTTTTGTCTCAGATAGGGATTATATTATCTGTGCTCAGATACGGGTTTGGTCCCTATTACACGGGGACCCTTTTCATTATTGACACGGGCGTGAACTGTGTTGCTAAGTGGTTATAGTTATTGCTCGCCTGATAAAAGTTTGAAAAGATTGAAAAGTTTCAATCTAGAGTAAAAGGCAGCAGCTCTTAGATTGCTCAAAATGGACCTAGAAGTTGCCGTTGAATATTGGAGCTTTTAGTAAACTTATCTTGGCTAAATGAACTGCTGATCGAAGGTAGTAACAAAACTACACACACTCGTTAATGCCTTTATCGGCTAAATGGTTAGAAGCTCATAGGCCTAAGGATGAATGAGTTATCTTTCTGTTACTTTGATAATTATCAGGTATAAATTTTAACAGAAAGTATAATGCACTATTTCAGTTGTAATACCAATTACAGGGTTGTTCTCGATTCCAAATTTCTTACTTAATATCCCGAAGTATCCAAATTTAAGAAGTATTTTTCTGCCAAGATAATTACAGATATTTAACAGATTGTCATTAAATTTTTAGAGTTATAAAAAATATAACATCTTCTTGTGCTGCCATTTAACTACTTTTACCAAATACTTGATTAAGTTCCTTGAGAGGTAAAGTCTTCCGTTCTTGTCTCTTCCGCGACATTTCAGTTCCACGACTGGGATTTGTAGGCCTTGGTCCAGACACGCCATCAGACTAAACTGCCTACCTCAAACATTTGCATCTATATGAAATAAGGTTTTCTTAAAATCTAATGCTAATAAATGTACGTACGTTTGAGACGTGATAGCTATGAGTCTTGTCCTTTCTGTTTTCTTAGGTGTGGGGCTAGTGGTAAGTTGGACCACCTCCCCCAGTGTTTATCGTCGTGGCGCAGCCTGCGTACTGGTAGGAAGTGGCGAATACAAGTGCTGCAGGGGAACACTAATGCAAAAAGTGCATATTATGCAGCACCATCAAATAAAGAGAGCAAGAGAAAAAAAAGGCACGCAAAAGGACTTAACACGTAAAATGATCAGAAAATTTACGAGCCCACTTCCTAGAACACCAATGTAGTTCATTCTTGGAGTTATAAAGGATCGAAGAAGCCACGAAAAAAAGCTGAGTATTTACAACATAAATAGACAGCAAAACAATCTATTGAAAGAGATCACAAAACAAGGATTGACAAAAACATATTGTTTAAGTACTTGAATCAGTTGAATCCAAAAACACGAACAACAACAGACGAGAGGCAACAGAAAAGTTGTAATGACGAAAATTTTGCACAGCAAGAAAAAGACAATTAGGAAAACTCCAAGCCTACTCATGGGAGGTAAACATAGTACAATTTGTTGAAAAACGATGAAAGTCTGTGTATGTCAGAACTGGATTTGTTGTCCTGGACCAACACCCCAGCTGTTATGAAGGGACTCTAAACATTCTCAAAGAAAATAAACGTTGTTACATTGTTGCTTTAAAATGTGTTGTTACTGTGCATTTTGTACCCAGGCAACGCTGGGTTTCACCATTGATAAAACATACTTGTTTCACTGCTAGTTGTTTAATAACTTCTACAGAGATAAGCGTAGTAGCGGATCGTCACACAGTTTGTCTCTACGAAGACAGTCACGATTGCAGACTCCGGCCTTGACCGTGAGGAGTCATGCAGCCTTAGTCGTGAGAAAAAGTGAAACAGAATTAACATTCCCGTAGCAGCAAACCTGCGGACTAAACGGAATCCCAACAGCTTCCTTGGATTTTAATTCAAAATGTAACATTAGTAGAAAGTATACTATGATCCATACCCAAAAAATCTGCTCAATAATTTTAGGTTACGTGATAAGCGTGGCTAAGTGCGAAAAACACTCGTTTAGTAGTAGGTCAAATGTAAAATTCCTCCTGTGACATAAAAATGTTTAAAATTTTTTTGCATATATGTGTAGGCATTGTACTTATAAGCAGTGATTGGTTTATTATCAATAAGATTAACTAGAGATACGATTCACTGCTTTCAGCACTTATATATTGTTTCTGTTTTATATATTTGTAAAATAATGCAATATACAGTGTGGCTGAAAAGTAACTTGCACCCCCCTTAACTTTTAAGATATTTGAGATATTTGAAATCGGTTTGCGGCAACCTTCTCAGTTATGCTACAATAATAATGGCTAATTTTGAAAATTTTGCCCTTAGGGGTAGTGGTGGTGGGGGGGTAGCTCAAAACTTTCAAATAGGAAGTGTGGTCAATTTTGGTATCATTTTACATGTCTTGACAAAACTAAACAATTAACATAAAGAAAAAAGAAATATGACAACTAATAACAAAATGACAGCTAAAATGATTAAGACAATGGTTATTAAAAGTAATTTTTAACTGCTATTTTGTTATTAGTGGTCCGATTTCTATTTTATTTATGTTAATTTTTTAGTTTTGTCAAGACCTGTAAAATGATTCCAAAATCGACTATACCTGTCATTTAAAAATTTTTAGCTACCCTTGCTTTTTTTCAAAATTAGCCATCATTATTGTAACGCCTCATTTCTAAGAAGGTTGCCGCAAACCGATTTCAAATATCTCAAAAGGTTCCAAATTTAAGGGGGGTGCAAGGTACTTTTCAGCCACCCTGTTTGTTTTTTCATATTATTCGTATTTTAACATAACTTTAATATTTTCATAAAGGCAGTATGTCTGATGTGTACAATCACTTGTTTATGTATTTATATCTAAATAGTGACACATCTATTTGTGTATAAGGCCTGATTAAAAACTCACATTTCATCCACTATTTCACACTCTAAATCAGCAAACTCACAAAAATTACACTTTCCCATACAATTACCACTTCTACCTTAGGTTCTTGTTCCTTCGGTTGATTTTCTTTGACAAAGCACATTACATCAGCCAAGTAAGGGGGTCCCAGTCGTCACCCTCCTCACCCTTCACTGGACGTCGGTCATCACCCCTGGTGTCGCGGGTGTACAAGGTCGCAGCTGTGGTCCAGCGGAGGATGTTATATAAAGATGTCTGAGACGCGACTGTCGTCAGTCAGTGATCTACATCGCCTCTCGCACGACATGAAGGTACGAATATCTGTAGCACTTAGAACATTGTTTTGAACTGTTGTGTTTTGTGTTTATGTATTCATTAGTGTTTTGGAGACGCATCCGTTATGTCTAAATTAAAAAACACTATTGTAAAAATTTTTTTATTAAACTTATGAATATCTTAAAATTTATTTTTTTTCATTACACTATTTTTTGTTTTATTTAGGTTTTTATGGTACTTATTTCTTTTTCTTTCATGAATTTGTTATATTTCAAACTATTTTTTGCCATCTATATGTGTTGGTATTATTGCTAATTCTACTTTTCTATATTGTCAATTTTTTACTGAATGTATATAAATACTTTCTAAACATGTTTTATTATTTTTCTTTGCATTATTTCTTTTAAAATTTGTATATACACATTTTAATTTTATTTTTTTCCATATTAAATTAGTAGTGTGTATAGTAATTTTATTGTTAAACATATTGTTAAACAATAAATTGCAACTTTCAAAAGTTTAGTTGCGACACATTCAGCAAATATGTTTATCTTTTTTTCTGTATATTCCATATTTACATATACATTTTATGTTGACTTCTCATATTTTTCTTTAATCAAAATTTTTTAACTGTAGTTTCCTTGTATTTGTTACTAGAGTCACTTAAAATAAAAATGTTTTATCTAAATTTTTTCCTTTAAAATATAGTAATAAATTGGTAGTATCTGTTATTGTTGTTACTGTGCATGTTCTCTATATATTCAATGTTTACATGGGTAATTTATGTTTGCTTCTTGTTTTATATTTGTTCATTCACACAATGTTATCATTAGCATTGTTTTTTGTGTCGTTAGGGAAGCTGCTGGGCTTATTAAACTATTATCCATCATTTATTTTTCTTATCCAATTGACGAATAAAATAACGTTCCGATATACTTCACGTATAGCTAAAAACCCCTCAACAAAATTAATGTCGAATTAAACTTGAAGAAGGTTAACCTTTAAATTTATCTGTTCTGTGATAATATAAATGATTCGATTGATTTGATGACGTTTGATGGAACTATTGTTTACATTTTTCAGTGGATCGTCAGAAGGTGTGGCAAGAAATAACTATTGGTGTTTGTTCCAATTAAGATTATCAATATTCAAAAAAAATCAAATAAAAATATCATTGGTCCGGTGCTAATTATGTTTCCCACTCGTTAAAAGCGGGGACAGATTTTTAACTACCTCCAGCTTTACAGCACTTTAAAAGTTTAAAGTAAAAGTTTTCTGAAAGGCAAATTAAAAAGGATTTTCTATAGTTTTACGTAATGAAGGTTCATATTTATTTATGTTTGTGCTGCTCTGAATTTAAAGAAAGTTTAAACAACCAAATAAGGAATAAGTGGTGTTTTTTACCAAAATTAAAATTAAAAACTTCGTTTGCGTATCAAATCCCACATCGTTTAATATAGTTTTTAATAATCAAAATTTTACAAGTCAACATGTTTTTATGATTATTTTCAATATCAATCAGGTTCAGAGGTGAGCTTATTTGGTCGATTTTTTAAAGTATATTATATATAAACACATTTTTACACAACTGAAGTCCTCACAGAGACCACAAAGACACTAACTTCCTAGACAATTGTTTTTTTTGTAAATGGAAGTAATAGTAGTTTTTTTTTTTTTTTAATACGTGTTGTGTAGTGGCTTATATCTTCAAGCCATCCTTCATTCCAAAGTTATATTGACTGTATAAACTATTTTAATAAAAATAAAAATTTTATCACCAAGATAAAGACAAGTTGTTTACAACCAGTTACGGAGTTGCGTTATTAAATAGTAACTTTATAATTTTAAAGTAGTTATGTCACGTTAAACATTCTTAGTCGCAAAGATTGGCCATTTGTAAAAAAATGGCACGTACCAGAATCTAAAGGGGCTGAACGAGTATCATAATTACCATTTACTAACACAGTACATAACGGTCAAGAGAAAGTTTTGAACAAACCATCAATTCAGGAGTAATTAATTCAATAACATGAAGAAACCCTTGATGATTTCTACGGCATAATATTGGGGTTGTTTGTATTGAACATGATTTCCTACTAATTACAATACACTGAGTTTATAGCAAATTACCTTAATGATTTTGTAATACTGCACATTAAAAATATTTTCGAATTGTTTATTGTATTTAGTACAGTTTTGAAAAACAATTCCTACATACAAAAATAAGAAAGTTTCCACGTTTGATATACAATTTTTTATTAATGAAGTTAAATATTATTTTGGATATGAGATTTCATTATGCAGCTTAAACTTTTCATAAATATACTTTTAGAAGGGAATTTTTATATACAAGAAACTAAAAGAATATTTGTAAACTAATCACAATCACAAAAAATCAGGTTAAGAAAATTAGGCATGATAAGCAGTTTTGGGTGAATTTAAGTTGTTTTGTAATACAGTACAATTTACTGCATTTTAATCTATTATTATTTTTTTAAGTTAAATATTTATTTAAAACTACTTTCAAACAGTATAGCAGGGTGGCTGAGTCGTCGTAGAACTTTTACAGTAATCTGATACTGAGAAAAGTCAGTACCTTTTTGATAGTTTGAAATAGCACTGAGTCACTGAGCTTTTGGTAAAGTTGACCATGACTAAAGGAGCAGCTGGTTCAAGTCAATTACAAAACTACACAGTCTTGTATACATAAAGTCCTCTTTAATTCATATTTTTCCAAATAAGCCCTTGTGTCGGGAGAATCTTGTAATGTAATGTCTGGTAACACTAAAAAAAATCTCTATCAACTCTCAAAACTAAAGGCTACAATGCTAACCTAACTCTGCCTCCCTGTATTTTAATCTTATCCCCTCAACTTCTAAAAAGTGAATACAGTCAAGAACAAGAGCACAATAGTAAGTCATCCTTCATAACAAGTGTCGTTTATAAAACACCCTTGATGTTGCATACTCCCTAAATGCATTTTATTACTAAACTTGACAAGAAGTCTACCTTTATAAGTCTTAAACTACTACCATATCGAGTTTCTGCATTACTATCGCGTACTCAACAAATGAACCTTAACCCCGGCGAAGTGGAAGTCAACGACCAATTTGAGGTACGAAGTTTAACAAGCTTCCGTAACCAAACCCTGCTCCAGTTCAGAGTTGCAACAAGCCATTCGCTCACGTCTGGACGTTTGTTACGTGGAGTGGAGCGAGCAAGTGTTGTGCTTGGGATGACAAGACCATAGATCATCGTGCTTGTTGAGAGGGCACTCAAACTGACGCAAGTGGGGACGCCGACTACCGCATCCTTTAGTGGTCATTGCTGCTGGGTTGTTGCAATTTAACTTTTAATTCAGATCTAGTTTTGACACCCTTTAGTCGCCAAGTGATTGTTGTTGGGTTGTTGCAATTTAACTTTTAATTCAGATCTAGATTTTGACTCGTGTGGATTGACTGGCAATCGTTTCAGTTGGAGATACACCGTAGTTTTTTGATAGTCTGTCATTGTAATCTGATCCCCAGTACAATTAATACAATTAATACCCCAGATGCTAAATATACAGTATACCAGAGTCATAAAAGTCGTGAATGCCAACTAATATAAACTACAAATAATGGATTATGAATACGTTACAAAAATGTATTATAACGATGGATCAAATTTATTCTCAGAGCTAATTAAAACATGGCTTACTGTTAAAACCTGCATACGTGTGGTTTCGTCAATTGGTCACGGTTGATGTAATTGGATTTTTTAAATTTTACTTATTTCAAATTCAACTATTGTTTAAATTTGACTTTTTCTCGTATAGTTCCTACTGGATTATAATCTTTCTAGTAAACGTTAATACCTGATGTTTCGTATGGCTTTCATAGGCAATTTCCTATATTTCTTCTGTACACTTAACTGTAAACATTTACAAGATTGTAATTAGCCTATATCAAACGTTTTATAACCACAATCGTTTTATACCAGTCATTCCGATCCCCTACCAGATAAATTGACCGCTATTGTAAAATTCAATATGTGCCGTTTGAAAAAATGTTCACAGTATAAAATTTATATATATCGAAAAGTGTTGTAAAACGTACTTTTCTACCCATATGCCAAAATACGTATTGTGGGGGTACAAGCGGTACAAGCAAAAACTACTCGTGTATTCTATTCACAAGTCTTTCCTCCAAAAAAACATAATTACCCAGCAGCATCAAGTGACAAAAACTAGTGAAACAACAATTATACAGTTTCAACATGCAATTTATGATGTTCGCACAATAGCATAGGCAGATGGGAATAACACCTTGGAGTTTATGAATGGGAAGTCGGCCAGTGGTAAAAACCATGATGTGGTAATGAATGAATGCAGTGTCAGACTGACAATATGTCTGAGAACCTGCGATGATAACCATTCTGTTGTAGATCTTATCTTAAACGCTCTCTCAATTGAGCAAGTGCAACGTTTTGTAATTACTGTGATTGTTCGTTGTAGGTCTTATGAACAGTTGTGGACGTTTGAGGTGTTCCTTGGTTTTCAAATCAATAGTTGTATCATGTTTATCAAGATTGTATCACAGACAATAACCATTGATTGGTCTATTGTTTGTGATTGTGTACAACAACTTTGGTTTTAGAACTGGTTTATCCTTAACCCTACATGACAGGTTATATTGTTATTTACCATTGTTATTGCCACATTGTTATTTACCATTGTTATTCATATTGCTATTATGAAATTGAGGTGGTATCTGTCTGTCTGAGCAGCTGTCACGGCTAAAATACTAAACTGATACAGCCAAAATTAAGCACAAAGATTTTCAACATACCTAGGAATGTCATAGGAATATTCACTTCTCTGAGTTCATCTCGGGCTACGCCCCTTGGATGTCCAAGGTTTTGAGGTGATGTTTTCCAAAATTAAATATTAATTGGTCTCCATTGAAGCATGAGAAAATTCACAATGTTTACCTTTCGTTGACATTTCAATGTAAACAATCAGCACGACTAGATGCTTATTTCACAATTCGAGATAAGACAGCTGACAAATTAAATACTATTTACAAATAATAATAATAATAATAATATTTTACACAACTAGAGGGTAGGTTTATTTATTTTAAAACTATAATAACTATTGTCATTGATTATCAATATTAAAATTAGCGGAAGGTAGATAAATTAAATTAAATTTTAAATAAATAAAATATATATATATATAAACAAAATAAATAGATAACATTTTACTTTCCAAAAATTTAATAACACGTACAATGCTGATCAAGAAGTTATTTACATAAATTAGGACAATACTAAATGTATATGTATTTGCTCTAAATTTCTACCTTGTATCAAGACTATTCAAAGTTCAAAATACCTTATAAATATAGCTCTACAGAAAACAAATTATCAAATTATTTACGTTTCAAATTATCAATATGCCACAAAACATAACTACGTTATGACCAAAACAATATTCGAATTACGTGATTTTATTGATTTCCTATACAAATAAACTGATAAAATTCAAAAAATATTTTTAATCTGGTCAAAAATATTGAACAACTTTGTAAACATGTCTACAAAATGCCGAAGTGAATCGCAGAATTCAAAATCCAAAACAAAACAATGATTTACGACTACACAACAGGACATCAAATACGTGATTTTTACCCCTGGAGGCAAAGTATTATTATGATACAATTATTTTAAACATCAAAAACAAGCAAAATAATAATTATCTTAAACATCAAACTACCTTATGAATATTCTACACAAAACTCTTGTAAATTAAATTTAACATTAATGTAAAATTTTAAATGTAGTATATTTTTAAACTTACAACTTGGTCATTAAAAACTGAAGACCCATATAAATATTTCTACAAAACAAGATGCGAATTAATCCCAATTATCTCAGAACAAAACGATTCCAGCAATTCCATGACAAAATATCAATTACGCGATAATTGTTGGCAGTTTCGGCTGCATTTTTCCCGCTCTGGCTACAATTAGCTGCAGTGTACCAAGTCCCATTACCATTGTCACCTTACGTAATGGCCCGGGACAGATCGTGCCGCCATTACTCGCATTACTTGGTAATTTCCAGGTGAAGGTCTTGGGCTTGTAACGCACTTCGCACATTACTTTTATATTACCGTGAGATTCACCCAGATTTGGAATCCTGGAATATACAGAGAACAACTGTACGGCCATTTGTATCTCAGAAAGTATCTGATTTTTAGGGGGTTATGAATCAGAAATATGATTTTTTTCATTCAAAATGAGAAAATGTTCTCAAAACAAGTTGGGTGCTGCTAGACGAAGGTTAGCGTCTCGTTTGAAGGTTAAATTTTGAGGGGGTTTGTGTTGGCCGATTTTCTTTCGGAGCGTTTTTGATCATGGAATACATTGTAGTCGTTTACATAAATTGATATCGGCTTTGAAATTGTTATTAAAATCAATAATTTATGGACGGATTCGTCCTAAAAGATGAAGTTGAACTATAGAACATCATCCCGTACCATTATATTTTAAGCAAACCAATTTACCATTCATCCTTTTCCATCATTCCACCATTCCTGAAAAAGAAAGATCAATCAGATTTTACTTTGGCAAAACGAAAAAATCAAGTTGAAATTCTGAAAATAGTTTTATATTTCTACAAAAATTAACTAGAAATACTTTCTTTGACAAAATCGGCTGAGGTTAACCGGAGAGGAGACGCAACGTACAGCTGATTTTCTTGATGCCAGATTTTCCTAGGCATAATAGGCATAATAGGTTTTCCTGGGACTGCTTTATCCCAGTAACACATGTATTGAAAAAGTATTGACAAAATATTTTCCTTTAGTGTTACGAAATAGTATATTTCATCACTAGGCGCTAGAGTAACTATATTTTTCAATATTCAAGTAACTCTATTTTCAGCACTATATCAAGTTAAACGACCGACGCAAAACCCAGTTTTGAAAATGTGCGAGGACCGAAAAAAAGATTGTGTACTGCACCATTATTAAGCTAATTAAATCACTAATAGATAATTTCGTACATAGTTCAGACTTGATTGAAAATACCGGTACTTTGATATTATAACGACCACACCGATAAATCCACTTCCAAATAAGATTCCAATTAATTAAAATAACATGATCTTCCTAACATAATTTAACCTAAACTAACCTAACCTAACCTAAAACATAGTCCACCCTAGGTCAGGTTAGGTTACGCTAGGCTAGGTTAGGTTAGGTTATAATTACTAGGTGTGGTCGGTATAATGCCAAAGTACCAAAAAACCTACATTCGTATGGTCAATATTTCATAAAAAAAGTATTAAAGTATTACTTTTAGACCTTAGTATTGGTTCCGAAATAATTTCCATTTCGTTTTGCTATTGTATGCCTACAGATGTCCCCGTTATTTATAAGTAATACGTATTACTCCGCTAAAACGCCAATAGATTCGAATTCATCAAATTTTTCGTAATGTTGATACTGCAAACTTCAATTTTATTGTAGTAAAAATATACTGTGACACGAAAGTAAACACAAAAATATTTTTACTTATAAAACGATGAAATCGTATTTTAATTTATCAAGACCATTTCATTACTCATAATCAGGGGACAAATTTTACCTTGAGAAGATGTACAGCTGATTTTCTGGACTCCATCTAATCGCTTCTCATAGGGAGGAATAGCTTTAGCCCAAAAATAGCTTTTTGAGCACGGTGGTGTGTTCATGTGTTAACACATGTAGTATTGAAAAAGCCTGCTGCAGTATAATAATAGAGACGTTCCTTTTCAGTCGGTAACCATCGAATGCTAAAAGCGCACACAAATCCTTGCTAAGTTGGACCTAGTATTTCCTAATCACCGTTTCCTAATGAGTAGTTCCTGAACCAGTGACTGTATTGTCCATCAATTTCGCAACCTTAACACCTTTCTCTCTTCCGCCTCCTTCCCGTTCATTTCCTTTACGTTATGGCATCTTTTATACCAATGAATGATGTTTTCAATATAACCTGCCGGGATATTTCTATTCGACCTTGTTTTATCTTGGCATATTTTTCTTGTACCATTAAACCAGCTGTAGCTAAGTTTACGTTGAAATTAAATATAGCTCGCAGAGTGCACCATTGTCAAAAGTATCACAATTTACGATACTTGAGTGATTTATTTGACATTAATTATGCTATGGTTAACATCAAGATTTTTGTTGTAGTTTTTTCCTTAAAAGGATGGATGACATACAACTTGAAGTAGTAATTATCTCTCAATTTAACCACGTCCATTTTCATTTTATAACTAGATGTTACTTCAATCTGAAAATAGGATATCCTCATAATCCATGGCTACATACGAAGGAACGTATTCAACTTGTTGAAGTATTGTCCATTATGCACTTCAACTTTTTGATAAATTTGTTTGATAAATATCTGTTAACTAGTTTGATAAATTTATTCAATAGATTGGGACTCAACTTACTGTTCCTCTATACAAGTTTGTAGCTCATTTCCAAAAATAAGTTTACTCTGCATTTTCAAAATTTACACATTTACATTTACACATTGCAAAAATTGTGTCACCGCATGCATAATATTACAGTCTGCGGCTAACTTACCCGGATAATGACAGTTTCATTGAATTTATCTAACATAATTACGTACGCGGGGAACCTTTGGTCTCATTTTAGTTGAGTTTGTAATTATTTCTCCGTTGTTTCTTAACTTTTCCGTCCTGGTGGTGGTGGTGTACCCGGGAGTGTGGTTTCTTGAGTAACTGTTGTACCGTATTATATCGTTCTCCACAGTTTCAGTCTAGGTTATGTTAGTGCGGTTAACCTAGGATTGAGTATCAACATTATGTTCAGACTGAGTCACATCCGTTACAGAGTTACTCTTCAGGGAGTAGTATATTGTGTCGAAAAACAACAAGTCAGTGGTTCTTGGTTTGCATTGAGTAGAGTCGGTTTGTTCAATTCACAAATCAACTAATTCTACACCTTAAAAGCAAGACCTACTGAGCTGTCCTTTTGTGTGCATGCGCAATAGGACTTTCTGGCTCAAAACTGTCTTATGATTTTACAAGGAATATTTCAATATATGGATGTAGTAAATATTTAAATTCTGAAACTGGTTTCTGTCTTATTACCGAATTTCTAACAAAGCCATATTAAAATATATATATATATATAAACTGGAGTATGCCACATCGACTGTCATAGTATCGTACTGAGGATTGAAATAGAATTTTAAAATTAGCATACTCTGTTATAAGCTCATTCCTTTGAGGCTCATTGAACCATCAACCATGCTCAAATAAAATTAAAACAGCTAATTTAAGAATTTGACTTTGTTTGACCTATAGTAATATTTTACCAAATGTTTTGCAGGTTTGCCTAAGCAGTTTAGCGGTGCTGATGTGCCTGGGGGCAGTTTGGGCAGAGCCCCCCGTACCTAACTACTCAACGACCAACGAGGATGCCTTCGCCCCACCTCCACCCTCCGCTCCGTCAGCTTCCTATGGTCCACCCTCGGCATCGTATGGGCCACCTTCACGCGGCAGGTAACCATAGGTTTAACTTGGTCAGAAAATTCATCCATAGATGTATTTGAAGTTAGTCATAGGGGTTAGCTTGGTTGTAAGGGTTGCTAGTTTTTGGTTGTACCCTAAGATAGGTTGTCTTTACCATCTGTTCTTGATAGTTCTTCTGACAGATCCGTTGCTGCATGCCTAGCTTCCAGATTATAAAACTTTTTTGAAGGTTTGAAAGGTAATTTGTTAGTAACTCTTCCCTTAGTTTCTTTGTCACGTTCCTTTCTGTCAGAGAGGACTACAATATAATTTCCTACTATGGATGATTTGAGTTTACTAAAAGAGTTGATCGGTTTGAAATTATGGAGATTAAGAGATGCAACTTATAAGGTTCTACTGTAGAATGAGATTGTAAAGAGAACTTGCTTCAGATATTTTACATTAGGTTTATACCTAATGTAAAATTGCTAACCTAAACCATTGCTATTATCAGAAATAGCAATGGAGGATTGCGAATTCTCAAATCCATCCAATGCAAACACTTTATCGCAGCTGATTTTGAATGCTGCTGATTTGGACAACTTGGATAAAACGGAGGATACATGTAGCTTAAGTACTTTACTGCTTAGTAGACTTAACAGTAACCCTGAAATAGACCGGATCAAAATCTTTGTTTATGAAAGTATGCATTAAATTTGTTTATAATACCTATTATTTTTACAGTAACAGGTTCGGCAACAGTAACCGGCACACGATGGCAGTTCTCAGACCCAGTGCCAACTACGGCGCACCTTCGTCATCCTACGGTGTACCGGGGCAGATCTCTTCGGCGCCGAAACGTCCAAGCTTCGGGGGCAACCGAGGGTTCTCCACCGGGGCTTCCTCTGGTGGGTTTGGAGGCTTCAGCGGGGGCGGTCACAGTGGGGGTGGATACAGTGGGGGCGGTCACAGCGGGGGTGGATATAGCGGGGGCGGTCACAGCGGGGGTGGATATAGCAGAGGAGGCAGCAGAGGAGGCTACAACTACGATGATGGAAGCTCGGTATGTATACAAAGTTGTTTTAATTATGTCACTAAATTATAATGCATTCCTACTATTGTAGCCCTAATCTCAGAATTGCTTCAGATACTTTTCAAGACCTTTTCTTTTAGGCTTGAGATACTATTTCACCAAATACACAAGCCTTGCAATAACCAGACTTACCAACGTACCAGACCAATAACAACCTCAAAAATCCAAATAGACCTCAATATTCCAACCAACCACTTACCACTGAGCCCTAAAAAACAAGGCTTCACTTTAACTTGTGATACGTATGTAACGTCTTTGAAAGAGGATTAAGCCCTACAAGAGCCTTAGTTGGCTCATTCTTGACTGAAACTTTACAGGAGGAGTAGACTGTACCGTCGTCGGTGGTTAAGAACAGTTAAAACCTAAGTAAACACACACAAAATAAAATAAAATAAAAAACGTTTAACTGCTGAATCCACACTGAATTTCAACAAATTTTTCAGGAGCCTGCCAGCTACCAGTTCTCCTACCACGTACAAGACGCTCCCTCAGGCAACGACTTCGGCCACATGGAGTCCAGAGAGGGTCACGTGGCCAAGGGCATGTACATGGTCCTTCTGCCGGACGGGAGGCGGCAGATCGTGGAGTACACGGCCGACGAGACAGGATACCATCCGACGGTCAGGTACGAGGGGACGGCCACTGGAGGCGGCTACCCAGCCAGCGGAGGCGGCACTGGCAGTGGAGGCGGCTACCGCTACTGAACACCTCTTCAGGAACACTCTGGCAACAATGACAACCCCCACGAGCACCACACCGTCGTACTTCGGCGTGTAAACCAGCGTCATCTTGCCGATTGTTTATAGCTTTACGAGTTACCAAAAGTTACCTTTGAAAGTCATTATATTAATGGCTCGTTTGTGACCAAGTTTAAAAACTGTACCTTTGACTTTTGTATTGAAGTAGACACAGACCAGCTGTAGCCAATTAAAAAGGAACTTAGTTGAAAGATCCACTCATAGTGTGATGCTAAATTTATTTTTCGCACATCCTTGTACTGTGATAGTTGATGAGGTATAAGAAGCTAGATTTAGTAATCAGCTGACCTTTCAGTTTAGCTTGGTGAAACAATTGTTGTATTCTATATAAATTTACATCTGCGCCCCCAGTCAATGGCTAAATTGGACTACGTAATTGTTTATCCAAGCCTACTCGTAAATCTGGCTTCAACTCTAACATGCGAATGGAGTGTATCCATGGTCAAGTGTTTTACATAGTGTGTATTTTGTACAAAATTATCTTCTTGTTTCATTCCACTCTATTTTAATATAAGTTGCTTTTAGCGAATTTCCCTATAGGGAAGTAGCTATTACCGTAGGTCTCATGGTAAGACTTAGGCCCGGGACCGATTTACTTTTTCATTTTAATGTCCCCAGAGGCCAAAAACACCATTCGTTCAAATTTTTATATATGTATATATATATATATAGATATATATATATATATATAGATTTATATATATATATATGTGTCCGTGAACACGATAACTTGAGTAATTTTTATCCGATTTTGATGAAATTTGGTTTGAAGGTGTAAGGCGGGATAAACTTGAATGAGTTCGCGATCCAACATGATCGGACCATGGGAACAGGGTTTTATGGGGGGTTTTATGGGGTAAAAATTGGTTTTTCTCACTTTTTACCCTCAAAACACAAAATTTCCCAATTTTTCTCTAAACCTTCTTAAAGAGCTTAAAAAAACAAACAATTCAGTATATCAAAGTGTTTTTGTACGGTTATTGGTTACGGAGAAAACTAAAAAAATGGTAAATTTAAAATTCCCATGTTATTCTTATGGAGAATATTGTAAAATGTTGTAGTTTGCTTGTTTATCGATATATTTTGATCAAACTTGGCAAATATTTTACTAAAAACACACTACTTTATTAGTTTCCTTGTAGCAGCAAACCTAGGTACTCGTTAAACCTAATGTTATTTAAATAGATCAATTGAAAATCAATTCGGCCAAATGGAAATTCGCTTAGACGGCAGGTTTGCTGCGGCGGGGGTATTTAATTTAACAGCTGTTTATGTAACATACTAATACTTCAATGTGATTCCGTTGTAAATAACATACATTACTGCTAATGATGTATACAGTACCATTTCACTCTAATTTTAAGGAAAGATAGATTATTGTTTTAGCTTTTCGAGTCTTAAAAATTAGAAATAAAATTTATTACGAAAACAATTATTCATTTTTAAATTATATCACCACAGTAGTTTTGTTCTCTTGTGTTTTATGTTCTTGTATAAGGTTTAGCTTTAACTTTAGTAAATAGTGAAGAAGATGTAGTTTTAATTTAATTGTAAGTATTTTCACAATAAAAGTTTGCACAAATACGGATATTGTTGTATGTATTCCTGCTTCCCATTAGGATGTATAGCCTTGATGTAACTCCAAACGTAAAGCAAATTTCATATGGATAAAACCGTCTAACTTTAAGAGATTGTAAAAGGAATGTGTTGGACTAAATTAATTTCGGTGGTCTCAAATTGAAGGAAGGTCTAAGCCGTTGAAGCTTTTAGCATGTTTCATTAGCCATATTTACACTTTAACCAGAAAATACTATTATTTTGTATTTTGTGCAAAAAGGTACGAATAAGAAGAGAAAATCAACTTGGACAGATCAAGGAGGATAAATAAAGGAATTGTAAGATCAAACGTTTATCCTTACATTAAATTCCCATAACATAACAGTCACATTTCTCTCGAAGATACTATTGCGCTTTCAGACAATTTCTTCGACAATATTATTTTCAATAATACATATTAAAGCAATTAATTCATTTATTTTATTTATTTATTTAACATCACATAAACAAATTCTCTTGACAGGTGATATGTCAAAAAGTCTAATACTACATTGATAAATCTAAATAATAAAATAGTTTACAAAATAAATAAAACAATCAATTTTACAATTTACAAAAGCAATAAATTTACAAACTTATGGGAGAAGTAACATCTTTAAAATAGCCTATAATACAATGAGTAAAATGCCCTCTCCTAAAGAAATTTTTTAAATATAATTTAAGTTTAGAGAATGAGGCCATGTTTTTAATCCCAGCCGGTAATTTATTGAAAATTTTTGGCCCCATATATTGAGGAGATAAATAAAGAGTTTAAGCGTATGTTGAACTGGTTTTATAATATATTTTAATCTTTTGTTATGTTGATGAGATTGTTGACAGTCCATGAATGTGACTAAATCACTTTTAACATTAATGCCAATTTGTTAATATAAGAGCTAAGGGTTACAACTTTAAACTGAATAAATAAATCTTCACGATGTGTTCTACGAAGACTCTGACCACTGATCGTACAGCTCTTTTTTGGAGAATAAATATTTTTGGCCTGGCTTGATCTGCCCCATACAGTAATCCCATAGTTCATAATGGATTAAAGATATGCGTGATATACTTCTACTTGTGTTTTTAGATTAGTAGTATTCCAAATTATCGTAAGAACAATTGTTGCTGAGCGTAGTCTTTTTGATAGGTTTTTAATGTGTTTTTGCCAATTTAGTTGTGGATCAATATCGATTCCCAAATAATTTATTGACTGTTGTGAATGAATTGAAGTTACGTTTGTATTTAATATAATTTCTTGGTTAATGAAGTAAAATAGAAAATGTATTTATTTAAGACGCGAAGTTAGGTCTAGCAAGTCCTCTCTACCACTTAACCTCTATAATAATGGTTAGTATTATATGCAGAAACTTAAATTAGTTGAGTTTTACCACATTCATGGAAAGTCCATTTACTGCAAACCAGTACCCAAAAAATTAAAATTCTCGAGGGTTTGATGCCTTTTTGAACTCATTGTTTTGTCCTGTATAAATTAGAGCGGTATCATCTGCTAATTGAAAGGTGGACATCTTAGTAGCATTGCATAGATCATTAACATATATAATAAATAAATATCGGGGCCTAGAATAGAGCCCTGAGGAATGCCACAGAGGTTAATGTTCCACTCTGATGTATAATTTCTCTGTTTTTGTCCGATTTTGATGAAATTTGGTTTAAGGGTGTAAATTGGGATAAACTTGAATGAGTTCGCGAACCAGCATGATCGGACCATGGGAACGGGGCTTTACGGGGGGTTTTATGGGGTAAAAATTGGTTTTTCTCACTTTTGACCCTCAAAACACAAAATTTCCCAATTTCTCTTTAGACCTTTTTAAAGAGCTTAAAAAAACAAATCATTTAGTATATAAAAGTATTTTTGTTCGGTTATTAGTAACAGAGAAAATTAAAAAAATTGTAAATTTAAAATTCCCATGTTATTCTTATGGAAAATATTGTCAAATGTTGTAGTTTGCTTGTTTATGGATATATTTTGATCAAACTTGGCAAATTTATTTATTTTGTACTAAGCTATCAATATTTTACTAAAAACACACTTTATTAGTTTCCTTGTAGCAGCAACCCTAGGTACTCGTTACCCCTAATGTTATTAAAATATATTTAATTGAAAATCAATTCAGACAAATGGAAATTCGCTTAGTCGGCAGGTTTGCTGCGGCGGGGGTATTTAATACTATAAGTCTTTGTTTTATTTTTTTTATATAATTTAAACCATTTTAATACAGTATTTTTTTCCAATACTTAATTTGTCTATGAGTATATGTTATGGATTTTCAGTACCGAGTTCTGGGAGGAAACCAAACTGAGAAGGATTTATAAAAATATTACTTTCTAACAATTCTGTTGGTTGAATATTTATCATTTTTCCAAAAATTATTAAACACAAGGCAAAATGGAAATGGGACGGCAGTTAGAGGGATCGTTGGCATCGCCCTTTTTGAAAAGGGGTTTAATCTCAGCAAACTTATGCTTGTCAGGAAAAACATCATCTTGCATCCATATTGAATCATCACTACTTTATCCAGGATTGCCCAAGACTAAATTAGAATTGACGACGTAAGGTATGTAAACCTACTTATATTGTCTTAAATATTAACTGCCAAAAGCTCCACCTCAGTCCGAGGAGATGCTAAGCCATGAATATGTTGGGGAGGTTCACGGTGTACTTTTGTGTACAATTCAAGTCTAATAGGTTGAGTTTCTTTTTCGTTAGCCCAAAACACAGCTAAATAGACAGACACCACCACTTGTTTGTACCACCACATTTTTTTAACTCAAGCATGGCTGATGAATTTTGAAATTTCTTAACGTATTAGTAGAGCATTGATCATTGTATATGTTTGAAGGCCTATGTGACACATCGCTGGGTGTCTAGAATGTCAATCGACTGTCAAAATTCCGTTTCATCAGACGTTATGAAATATGCTGCCTTCGTAGGTATTTTAAAGCAGCTTATTAAATCCAAATGACATGCTGATTATCGGAAGTTGCATTGATAAACGTTGCTTCCTTTTCGATGCAACATAGCTATGTGAATCAATATACCTATATGGAGATTTAAGCTCCATAAAGATTTTTTATAACTTGCAACTCAACATAAATCTGCAAGGATAATAACTTAAAGGAAACTCATCTTCAGTGCTGATTCGGATAGATCAAGCCATTTTTAAGTTCCAGCTAGTGGATGCTGTCAATAAATGTGATGGTAACAAAATAACATTTTCAAACAAAATACGCATAAATAACTAAAGGTTTGGACATTCAATATGGACTTTTAATCAGCCAGCTTATATTATATTTACAATCAGATATTGGATTTTAAACTATGTGTGTAGTAAATCTTAGTACAGCTTGAGCCGTTCCCAATGTTAGTTTAAGTAATAATTTTATCTTTACCACAAGGTTTCGGAAAGCTGTCTCCCCACGGCTATTATTTTTCACTCAATCAATGCCTATGTGAACAATACTTCAATAAGTCCAAGGGATTTTGCTTTCTCTAAAATTATCATTAACCCCTTTTTAGTACAAGTTTTTAATACGAGTTTGTATAATTCAAACGATTAGCTAATTAATTAAGTTTATTAATAAAAAATATAAGCTCGATATTATGGGGCATGAAAAATGCAACCTCATTATTGTTATTTTTAGTTTTATTACGGTACACAATATTCTTAAATGTTCATGAATTCATCTTTATCATCGTCGACAAGGAAACTTGTTTTGTAATTTGTCTATTTTGCTATAAGGTTACAAGGGAAACTATTTAAATGAAATTACTCAACTAACATTACCCTGAACCAGCATTATTTTTTAAAATTGTGGACAGCTAAATGATTTTGACTGAAGAGCTTTGTGTGAAAAAAATAATATAGTTTCTTTTGATAATTTTTCCACACGACCCATTTT